CCCTGTTAAGATTTCTATTTACCTGCTGCCTTGAAAAGATGGCTTTGCAATAAATGGAGGGTTTTATGCCTATTTCTAAGCCACTTGTTGCCTCAGCCACAGATAGATACTTGCATCTTAACGTGAGTTACAAACACAAAAGTACCATATATCATGTGCACATTCATACTGAATTTATTTATATGCATTGTATAGATATTTATAATGTCTTTGGTTAAAACTGTCCATTAGAGTTACAAGAGATGACAGTCCACTTAAATTATTCCACAGTAGGTTCCCACCATGAGAACTTTGTTCCTCCCTGTACACATGCTGCACTGTGTCAGCTAAAGCTAGATAAACACAGAGAAATACTGTGGTGGTTTGTACAGGGCCTGGCTCACAAGACCTTCTCATCCTCCCCCAGGACAGCAGCATGCCCATGTGATAAAATTGCATGGTTCCATTTCAGCTCTTCCCAGCTGCCACTGGGAACTAGTGACAGAGGCAGGGGATTCTAATTAGGGTTCTAATTAGGCTGCTACGATACTACGAACACAACAGCATGTCAAGCTGCATGCAGCCTCTAGGACCTACAGAGCACTTGTACAGACACTGTTGTGTTTCTCTGACAAGACTGCCACTGCATTGTGCTCCAAGGAAAGCCCTTGGTAGACATGCTCTGTATGCAAGGCCTACCTCCCCAGAAGCCAAGGGTTTCACTCATCTCTACTGTAATTTCAAGGGAATTAAAGAAGATGCAGCACAGATGAATTTTAATTAGCCAGCTGCCCCCAAAATAAACAGTCTCTTCTTTATTCCACTGAGCCAGGTAGGCAGACAGCTCGGAGGAAAAAAAAATACCTCACCCTTCTGCCAGTCCTATGAGATAAAGGTAGAAATACAGCTTACTCTGAGCTTGTACTGCAATCCTGCAAACCCTTCCACGGCGATAATGTACATTTATCAGAACCAAGGCTGTCAGCAGCTTCAGACGCTGGCTCCAGGGAAATGGCTGAGGCACAGGCAATGGGAAGCTCTTGAGCCTCTGCAGATGGCTCTGGGCTATCCAGCAAAGGCTATCCCTGACCCCTTCCTGTCACTTCATTCAGATCATAGTTTAGAAGGAGGCCAAAGACGTTTTTCTTTTCCCAGAGAGAAGAATTCTGGAATATTTTGTCCTCTTTGTAACTATTTGTACATGACACAGGGCCTGCATCCTCTGTTCCTGACAGGACCTTACTCAGAGAACGACACCTTCTCCCATATTTCTGGAAGCCCCAAGAACAAGATTGAAATCATATCAAGTTCACTCTGATACAAAGCTAACAGGTTAAAAGTTAATGGCTTGTTTTTACGTTGCATTTTCATAAAGAAAGGCTGAGGCTATCTATTCCCCTCGCAGTTCTTTCAAGGGGAATATTTTCAAATGATGAAAAAAATGACCTCACCAACATGGCAATGAGAACATTTGGCTATCAGCACAACTTGTCACGACGTGTGCAGACACCACTGCACTGAGAACAGCAGCTGTTACCAAGGCAAACAGCTGAAATAAAAGAGGAAGAAAGGCGGCTTGCAAATAACCGCCTTTGCTAGTCCAAATGGCTCTTAATACTCTTTGTGTAAAGACACACTGTTGTTAACATCTGCTTGAAGTTAATATAAAGAGTTGTTTGCAAATAGCAAAGCTGGTAAGCACCTGCTGCCTTAGGAAAGATGAACTTTTGTGGGCATATAACGTGCTATTTTATTCCCAGCAGCTCTCGTAAACACCATGCTATACAGAAAAGAAATGAATGGACTTTGTGAAGAGCACTTTAGTTGAAATAGGATAAGACTATACACAAGTACTGCTAGATACCAGAACAGTTTAAGAGTCTGGTTCAGAAATATTCTAGAGCCCGAGGATCTAAGTGGTCTTAGAAAGATGACTAAGAAAAGGAAACCAATTTCCAGTGACTTAGGTTGATAACATTGAGGTCTGTGCATTAATAGAGGTTGAAACTAAGCAAAAGAAGAAAGTTCTTGGCCACTTCTCTAGTCTGGTTTTAAAACTGCCCTTGGCATGAGCGCGTTTTAGACCAGCAGAATCTCCCTGGCATGCAGGGAATGCAAGAAGTGCACTGTGTTTCCTGCATTTCCAGTTCACTTGTGCCTTCCATCCCCTTCTGAGTGTTACCCTGAGATGCTCCTCCCACAAAAAAATTTCAGATTGACTTGACTGTTAGCTTGATTTCCATCAGGTAAATCAAAATGGAAAAATAAAGAAGATAAAAGCTAGAGTGAGATTGAGCTTTCCATACAGCATGACTCTGTGTACCTTCCCAAGCCTTCCAGACCTCTATGTTTTCTCCACGCTGCTCTATTTCATTTGAGGATTGTCATACTGCATGTATCCATGTCATTAGATGGTAGATTTACAGTGGAGCAGTTAGTCCTGGCCCTATCATTAGCAACCTTTTTAGACTTTGACTCGCCTTTTCATTTTGCCTACGTTAAATTGTGACTGAAATTGTTTGCAGTTTTCAGAATGGCAGGAGTTTTTCATACCCTGGCCATAGATGTTTAGACATAATTGAAAACGTCACCATGTTCTGTTAGCTTCTGTAGCTGCAACTCAGTCATAAACAAGAATTTGTCATGAAGCAGAAAAGTTTACAACAAAGGTTACGTCCATCTCTTATTTCTGTGATTTCACAAGATTACGAGGAAAAATGAAGAACCCCAGTTGTGACACTCCTGTACTGTTATTATGTATAACCCAATATCTTTTGAGCTCAGTAGATAGCCACTGACTTCAGAGGATGGACCAGGCTTGTAAAGAAAAGTGGAGGTTTTTGACTAGACTTGGCTTATCTCTGTGAGTACTGCTTTAGAAGAAGAACATGCTTGTAATTGCCCAAATCCTTTCCCACCTCTGCCCTTGAAAAGTAAATTAGACATTCTCTAGTCACATAAGACCATGTCTGAATCTGATTATTTAAAATCCTTCTGTTTTGTTTGTGTTTTCACTAGATAGTCCTTTAAGAGTTCTGGGAGGAGGATCATCCACTTCCCACCATTAAATTCCTTTGAGTTTTGCTTCTACTTTGGTTACTGGACATTCCCTTCCCTTTGTTCCTGTTTGGAAAACTGCCCTTTGATACACTGCTTAGCATCATCGTTTGAGCTCACAGTCTCCTGTATAGATCAGGCATAGGCCTTTAGCACCTGAAGCAGAGATTGGCAGCGACCCACCATTCTGTGTTGTATGCAGAACATGCAGATAACTCCTGCATCTTTGTAGCTTTTGCAGAATTTCATTGGTGTTAATTACAAAAGAATGTCAGCTGCTTCTGCTTCTAGGTGACAGTTGCTCCTCAAACAATGACTCACATTCAAGTTTCTGGAAAATCACACTACTGTATTTATGCAGGTGGAAGCTATAAAGTATGTTGGGAAATCAGAAGGTCAAATTTTTATCTCAAGCCACAAGTTATTAACCACTACTGCCAGTACTACCATTAATCTACTCACTTAAAGCATACATAATTTATAGCTGCAGGTTCACACTGCAGCGTGGATGGTGAGTGCCATTTCTGTGTAGCTAAGGATTTTAAAAAGACCTGCAAATGCAACGTTCATAATTCTGGATAACCAGGACATAGTGAATTCAGTTGCTATGGTTGCAGGCAACAGATAGGGAAGATCTCTGTTGCACCTCAGGCAGCAATAACTGACTGTGCCACTGAATCCACTTGCATTCATTTTTTACTATAGTAATTCATGGTTGTGCTGACTCTGCTGCAGGTAACATTACTGACATGAGCACAGGCAGGAAGATGGGCCCTGTAAATCGAGTTCCCAGTGGGGGAGCTGTCCCCAGTCTGAAATAATAACCAATAATTACCAAGTACATATGCAGAAATGCTCAGAGTTAAATGTATCCATGCAACAGTGAAATGTCTTTAAGAGCAAAAAACATCAGCACCTGGTTCTGGTGTATCTCGACAATAAATGATAATCAATTCCAGAAGGGGATTCTCTTTTGTTGACATTTGATTAAAATTATTTAGCAGCACGGGGGAGAACTCATTGCTTTAAGAGATCACAGATCCTTTCAGAAACAATCAGACCGTGCTGTTACATCAGCTTTGTTACTCACCTGAGTCTTACTGTGCAAGTGCACTTTTAATGCCACTAATGTGACAAAGTGTCTTGCAGTGTATTTATCACTACCATAACCATCAATGGTTGCCTCAAGTGGAACAGTACCCCTGTGCTGAAGACTCATGGGCCAAGAGAAGGGTTACATTAAGATGTTAATTAATGTTGTTATTACTTTTCCGTGCTGCTTAAATCAGGGTCATACAGACTGAGAGGTCTGAATACTGTTGGGTACACAAGTGTGCCAGTCTTTTTTTTTTTTTTAAAGGATATCTGAAGAATAACAAAAGTGTGTGCACCTCATGAACCAGATGCATGCTTTGATGTTTTCACTTAGTGCAAAGCAGAAAGTGGTGGCACAGTAAACAATTAAAAATATCCTTTGAGTCCAGCTAAGCAATATCTCTTTCCAGTATTGGTTACCTGGGATGCATTTTTAACAACCTATATCTCCTAACAAAGGCAGCCAATTAGGAGACATGACTCTGTAATTCTCTGTCATTTTTCCACTGTATCTACCTACCTATCGAATGAGTTAGTGCAATGCACAACACTTGGATAGGAAGCTAAATTAATCAGACCAACCTAATTTGTTCACAGCAGTTCTTGTAAAAGTCTCTGCTCTGCTGCAGAGATGCTGTCTAGATGAGCAATTTCTGGCATCAGAGTGACACTCAGTGGCAAGACAAGAAAAGTGATTCTCGGTTTCTCAGATTCTTTGTATCTTTTCAATCGGTAGGATGCATCAAATTGTGATCAGCTCATTATCACTATTCCCTGTTTGTTTGATGATATTATATATGAGCATCACCATTCAGACCAAAACATTTACTTTTGATTACACAAACTAATAGAATGACTGCGTTACTTACTTTATCAGGGTCCCCTCACTCATTATTCATGTGCTGTGATCTCCTGCAATTGAAAAAAAATAATTTGAGAAATCAAAAAATATTGAATTTCATGAAGAACTGACTTGAACAACCATAGCTTTGTTTTCTGCTGCAACTCGAATCTTTGCAATTACTTCAACAGTCTGAAGAACAGCATTTCACATATTTTTTTTATAGTTGAGAATCTTGCATATGCATAACTGACATTTGGTGACCCCTTCAGTTATTTTTTAGACAGAACGCTTTCTGTTGAACATCAAGTTACTGCATACAGTGTCTAAAGAAAAAAAAAAAAAGAGAGATTTTTGCTTTTACATCTGAGAAGCATTTATATATCACAGCACATGTAAATCATATGGAAACTTTAATATTGAAGATGTTTAATAATACTGTTGGCAAGCATTTTGCATAAATACGTTAGGCGGAGTAGCTCTGCAGCAGAGTGGCAGTGTGGACTGCCTGCCTTTCCAGCCTGGTTTCCATCGATGCGAGGAAAGACTAATAGTGTTTAATAACCACTTATGATGCTAGAAGTTCTTCTGAGCATGTGGCTGCCTGGAATCAATGAAACTCAACACTATCCAAGGATGTTAACAAGTATGAGCTATCATCATAAAGTGTTCTTTGTCACACTGTATTTAAAACTAATTTCCATCTATCCCACACAGGGTCCTGTCGCATCACCCACGTCTATGAGGTCTGTCCTAACCAGTGGGTCGTGCCCCTCTTCAACACCTCCTCCACCACCGCCTCCCCCAGGACCTCCCCCCATCTTTGATACAGAAACCCCCCCAAAGGATGAAGGAACGGCATCTCGCTCAGCCCTGTTTGCACAGCTTAACCAAGGAGAGGCAATTACCAAAGGTCAGGAGAAAAGAAATCAAATTCTGACCCTTGAGTCAAACTACATCAACAGCTGTTGCATGTACTGACCCGAATTCCACCAATGTTTTTAAGCTATGTTTTGGCAAGAGACTTTTCCAAGGCTCGTACTGATCCATCTGGATGAGGCAGCATACTAAAACCCCCTTTAGAAGTAGCAGCACTCAAAATTGTTCAGTATTCCTGAAATTTATACCACTTATTTCGAAGTCTCCATTTAATTTCAATGCAACCGTGTTAGACATCTTCAATCCCCAGCAGCTGGTGAACTTCACAGTTGCAATTACAGTCAGAAGTTGTTCCTGTTTCTGACCCACAGTCCGTGTACCAGCCTGTGTCAAAATGTCTCATACGTTGCGTGGAAAAGTACGGCTCACAAATCAGTGTGATAAAACCATTTGTATTAACACTGGATAGTTGTAATTAAAGTGGATGGCTGTGAATTTAAATACTTACAATTCATATGTCTGCCTCTAGTGCCAAATTAGAAAAAGAATCTCACTTTTCTGGATGTAAAAATACTCGATAGCAAGATCACAGAGCTCTCTACAGATGGAGAGGGACTAAAAGACTGCTGCATTTTAAAGATTTTAAGACAGCCCATCCCGGGTCAAAGAGGTTTTATATAAAGGGCTAAAAACATCTATGCCAGTTACAGTTCAGGTGGTTACCCTGGGCAAAGCACGAGGAAATAAAAAATATCAACTCATCAGATAATTTAACACAATTGCAAATGACTTAGATACTATCTTTCTTATTTCAATACGAATAGCCTTAGGACAAGACAACAGATTCTCTTTTATAATAACGACCCATTTTTTTCTCCCAAGGGCTTCGCCATGTCTCTGACGACCAGAAGACTCACAAGAACCCCAGCCTACGTGCCCAAGGTCCACCCACTCGTTCTCCCACGAAAAGCCATACTCCAAGTCCCACCTCCCCCAAGAACTCCCCGCAGCAGAGCCATGCCCCCGTCTTGGAGCTAGAGGGGAAAAAATGGAGAGTGGTGCGTTCCAGTCACAGCGCGGAGTTGCACGCTGCACACTGCAGAGCAGCCTGAGCACTGAGCTTCTTGCACAAGGCTGTCCGCGATCAAGTAGCAACAGATCAAATTTGCAACTAAAATTTGCAACTACCATGCCTTATTCCAGTTTAGCTTATTGTTCTCTGAGATCTAAGGTTGATTCATTTGTCTCTGAGAATCTAAAATACTTCATCCGAAACGAAGAATGTCAAAACCAACAAATAAATTGTAGCAAAATCAGACAGCGCTCCAGAAACAAATCCCATGAAGAATCCCAATTAAAATCCCTTTTTGCAGGCCGCTCTTGTGAGAAAACATACATTATTAGCAGAGAGCACTTCTTCCATCCTTGTTAACTGATGGAATTATACATTTATTTTTCATCACTCGGTCACTCATTCCATGCAAGCTCCTCTCTCATGCTTAAAAGTGGAGAAGTATTTTCCTTTTGCTCAATCTACAGAAGACAAAGATAGCTTTGCTTATAGCATGGAATTTAATTTATGGAGGCATATTCCAAACTGTCTGGGAGTGAAAAGCCATGTCACTGTGTTGGTTTAAAGAGGGAGAAAGCAGTAAGAAATTTAGTCATGCAGAAGTTTCAATACGCAGTCATTACAATGGAGTAAAGTTTGCACAGAGTGTAGCCACAATTTACCTCTGTTGTTTTGCATTAGGGCTTTACTACCTGGAACTTCCCTTGTGGATCCCTAGCCTTTCTTTGCCATACATTGACTGTAAACAACCTTTTGCACTTCATAATGAGAGAAAATTTCTTCACATATTCCTCCTTATTGTTTAAGAAGGAATATTGCTTATTGCAATATTATTGCAATATTCTCCTTATTGCTGCCTGCACCAGCTCACAATATACTGCATACAGCCCTGGATAGCATTGCTGGGAGTGAAAACTTGGTTTGGCCTTCAACATGCTGGTTCTAAGTTGAATGAAAGCCAAACTGCTGTGAAGGCATTCTTACACTGCTGAGAGCAGAATGTCTTTGCTACCAAGTCAGTGGGTTTGTCTCAGTCTGTGCCAAGTTCTTCAGCTCTAGAACATACACATGCGTCACCAAAGGCTGAGGTAGGTGAAATATCCAGCCACCAATCACACTGGATTTTTAAGCCACCAGGAGGATATTGTTCTGTTGCAGTGATGCAATGACTTGATGATGTGTTGTACTAAGCTCTGACTGTGAGCTAGTTAAAGATAACCAAATAAATAAACTTTCTTCTGAAATAGGAATATCAAGAGGATAAGAATGACCTGGTCATTACCAACACTGAACTCAAGCAAGTAGCCTACATCTTCAAGTGTAACAAGTCTACACTTCAGATAAAAGGAAAGATCAATTCAATTACTATTGGTGAGTGAACAGCTCAGCTGGACTTTAAATGCCAATCTTGAAAAAACTTATGCAATTATAATGCATCAGAATCATTTCATTCATTGTGATGGGCAGATCACCAGTGATTAGCTATGCAGCATGAGACTGGAAACTTTTGTATTTAATGCAGCCGATGTGCATATATTTGCTTTTATCTTGCCTTTCTTATTTATGATTGTTTTTATTTTAGATAACTGTAAAAAGTTTGGCCTCGTGTTTGACAACGTTGTGGGAATCGTGGAAGTGATCAATTCCAGGGATATTCAGATTCAGGTAAAGATCTGTATGAGAAACAAAGAGAGAAAGAGAACAGACAGAAAGAACGAGCCCGACATGTGGCTGCAAGAGATTATTAGAAACTCATGCGCACACGATGAGTGAGAGACTGGTGCAGCCAAACCTATCTTAATATACAGCGAATTCTGCTGATGTATTTAGGAAGTGCCTATGAAAACTACTGATTGTTACTGAATAGACTTCATTTAGTCCAACACCTGGTTCCAGCGAAACGGAGAGATCTATTCAGTGGAATCACAGAATCATAGAATAGCTTGGGTTGGAAGGGACCTTTGAGGTCATTCAGTTACAATCCTCCTGCCCCAGGCAGGGTTGAAATATTATTACTTCTGGCCTTAATTTTGTTGCTTTCATGGTAAACAGCTCCTGAAATTGGAAGTTTAGCAGTGTTTCAAATTCTGGCAGTTAGCTAATTGGTTTCTGAGCCCAGAAGTTGGTTATTTCTTTTTTTTCTTTCGTCTTTTTTCTCTCAATGAAAACATTCAAATAGACTATAATGGACAACTAAACGACATAAAGTGAAAGCAGGCTCTTGGATTTCGAAGATCTCCCTGCCAACAACTTGACTCATTACATGAGAAGATAATGCAGACAACTTGCCCAGATACGGGCTGTGAGTCTCTGGTTTTGTCCAAGACAACCAGCGAGTAAAATCTCATCAGAGATCACCTTCTCTTGTGGTTCTTTTGAAATGAAAATACACACTTTTTTAATCCAGATCTTGCCCTCCCTGTACTGGACATTGCCCTATTCAAAATACAGACAGCCTGCCTGGCATTTACAGCACTTCGCTCGTTCCATTCCAGAGAGGTCTAACTGTACAAGCTGGGACCAACACAGATGATCTTAAGAAAGGCCTCTGGGATGTTTTATTTTAAGACAAAAATAATTAAATGGAAATTAAATTATATTAAACTGCCTGTCTTCTTCACAAAAGCTGAGGTCTTCTGCTTAAAAGGCTATGCCTGCAGTAAATTCTGTACTTCAGAAATACTGGTCACAGATACCACACTGAAAAACAGCAGGACTTTTTTTGCACTTTTGCACCTCTTGCAAGTGACTGACATTGCTACCAGCTGCACGTCATCTTCTGAGCTGCAACAAGCAGGTTTGTCATGATCACTACACAACTTATGGCACAGGCATTTGAACATCCCAGGCATTTGGCTGGTTTCTGTTTTTTTTTTTCCTAAATAAATGGATTATTTTTATCAGCACTTCTAGAACTTCTCATGAGAGACAAAAACTCCTATGTGAGGAACAGCAAAACTGGACGCTGTTAATATTCATGCAAAGAAGAAATATCTTTACTAAGAATAAAAATTCTTTTGATTAAGCAGGTTCTATGAATATTGCATAAGGCTTCTACAGCACAGAACAGAGTGGAGTTACACTTAAGATTCTGGCTATAAGCTGCCTGATTCTGAAGGATTTGAGCATGCCAAGTGCTCAGAACCTGCATTTTCTCAGTATTTTGAAGATCTGAGCTCATAAATTGCAAATATATCACATATTAATGCAATGAATTACCCTATAATTTTTTCTATGTTTACTTCAGTGCCTTACTTCTTGGCTCTCCTTTCTCCCAGCAGCATTTTATTTTTCCTGCTGTTTGCTAAATGTATAACATTAAACAGAGCCTCCTTTTGCAGGATCTCATGCAATAGAGAGCAAAAGAGAGGAAAGATGAGGCTAGGAAGCACTGATCGTTCCATATCAGACTTCAGGAGGAGGGCAGAGTGCAGTAGACAGACCACTTGCTCTTTGTTTGCGTCACATGTAAGGAACTGAAGCTGAAATTACATTCTAAACTCGAATGATGGAAGACACTTTTTTTATTAGCGAGTGGCTATCTGTCACGCGCTGTTATTGTTTTATAGCTCAAAGCAACCTTTGCCCTTTCAATACTCTGTCCAGAGCTGCTGCTTTCAGCCAGTGGGGAGGAGGAGGAGGAATTTTTACTGACAGCCATGAGTCAGCCAGTTAGCCAGGTAGAGACCTTTCAACCTGCAGAGTGGTCAACATGAGAAAGTCTACTTCCTTCTGCCCCCCTCAAGTAAATCTTGCGCTTGCTTTTAACATGATGTAAGAAATACCTTTGAAGATGTAATTAAATTGATCTTCGTGCTTTTTTAGGGCTCTATCTTGCCTGAAGGGGATAAAACCCTCTCCTGTTCTGTGCTATAAATCCAGGAAGAGTTTTTAAGTCTTTGGAACGCATCACAAAACACTTCTTTTGGATGCTGAGATCCTGCATTTGCCTAGAATGGGTTGGAGTTCACGTGTTTGATTTCATGCCATCCTGCTGATGAACAAGCTGAATGCTGCCTGAGTATCAGCACAAAAACATCACTGGAAGCAAAGGGAATGGAGAAAAAATTTGCATCAAGTCATACATTAAAAGTCTGCTGTGTATTATAAGCTTGCAGTTGCATGGAAAACATTGTTGTCACCACCAAGAACTTCTAGTGCTTAGCAAATGGTAGCTTCTATCTCAAATACAAGCATCATGCAGGCAGATGACATACAGATCAGATGTTGACAGGCAAAATTAGACCTGGCAGGCAATAAAAATTAGGTTAATAGAGACTTTATTTGCTTTTTAAGATTCGATAACGAGTATATCATTTTCCAGGTGATGGGGAAAGTGCCAACCATTTCCATCAACAAAACAGAAGGCTGTCACATCTACCTCAGTGAGGAATCATTAGATTGTGAGATCGTGAGTGCCAAGTCTTCTGAGATGAACATCCTCATCCCCCAAGATGGCGATTATGTGAGTGAGATTGTTTTTAGAGATTCTCTCCCTCTACCCATCTAGCCTTGCTAGATAAAACTGCTAGGAAAGAAAGAGCTCACACACCACAGTATGAACACGATCAAGAGATGATCCAAAACAACTGAATTTCTGTGTTCTGTTTTCTCAGCTATCAGTGGCAGGGGCAAAAACTTAAAAATTTATACATTATCTCTCTTTTTTTTTTTTTTTTTTTTTTTTTTTAAATACAGCTGATGGCTTCATCTCCCATCCACTTAATTTTCTTTTTTTGAAGTTGGTTCCTAAACATAACCTCCCAGTGGGACTCACTTCACACATTATTTGAGAGCACTCTGACTGAAGAGGATGACGCTAAAGTTAAGATAGAAATCTTGCAGCTCCAAGTGAAACGATAAAGTATTACTTATTTTTTTTCTAAGACTGCTGATACACAGGCAGTATCTGTAGAATTCTTGCTAGTGTTTTTTCAAAATAAGGTTCTTAAACATCACCTAAACATGAGATTTGCCTTTTCTAACTCAAAGGCTCCTTTTTGTCCTAGTAAGAGCTTAATACTTGTCTCTCCATCATTTCTACTAAAGCTATCCACTGTTGTGTCACACTGTAGCAAGGCAACATGCAGGTAAAGCATACTTACTCAACAGAGTAGTTTTGAAGTTGCACTGAATGACTCGAGAGAGAACTTGAATTTGCCATAAGTCTTCCACTCTGGAATACCATATGGCAGAAGAGTTTAGGCTTTACAAAGGAAAAGATGTGAGAAGAGAATTTGCATGCTCCACTTTTCCTAAAGTGATTACTGGATGCTCATCTTCAGGCAAATAAAAAGAGAATTATTTTTCAGTGAGTGCATATCTACCTGCTTCTGAAAAAAAAAAATCTCTTTGATGAGTCTCTCTCCTTAAATTGCCACTGTTGTGTGAAGTCACTGGCTATCAAAACACTGTGAGATCTGAAAGAAAGAAATCCTTTCCTCCACACTTTTGTTCTCTGAGAACCAAGGAGGACCCAATATCTCTCATGCTTTCATTGACCACATGAAATGGAAGGAAACTTCCCTCAAGGTTCTGCTTTGTTCTGTCTGACCCACAATGAATGCTATGCCTCTTGATGTTTATCACGTGTAAAATGATAGGCTGGTATTTTAGATTTCACTCTTCTGTGTTATATCATTTGCTTTCCTCTTTAAAATTAGTCTCCCCACCAAATCTCCACATCAGATCCCTTCTACTGTCTTCCAGGCCAGTCATTGATGGAGCCTAACGTCATTTCTGACCTGAGGTTTATTTACTTAGCTGTCCCAAATAATGGTGCGAGAGGGATTTTTACACAGGAGTACCACAGCAAGGCTATTTGAAACTAGGTAGCAGTAAGGCTTTTTCCTGTGCGGCATTGAATACAGCTTCCTAGGGTAATGAGGAAGGCCTCTCTATAATCCTGGCATGTCTGAGCTCTCAATGCTTTCCCAGTCATGTAGCACTAATAGTATCCCACCACTTTTCACGAGGTATCCGCTGTTTATCTAATCAGCGTTGGCGCTTTTGTTTCTTACCAGAAAGAATTTCCGGTTCCTGAACAGTTCAAGACAGCGTGGGATGGATCCAAGTTGGTCACTGAACCTGCCGAGATCGTGGGTTAACCTGACAGCACCCGGCGCTCACTGACCGCGATCAGACCACAGCCAGCAGAAACAACGCAGCAACGTGAAGAACTAGAAATAGCAGTAGCTCCTACTGCTCTCATAGGCCTTCAAGCATTAGCTGTGCATGCTAGAAACAATAACTCGTCTGGCACGCTTTTGTTAGGCACCTCAGCATTTCAAGTTTCCAGTTTGCCTTCACTTACGGTTTTACTTCTCAATGATGTCATGTGAATGTAATGGCTTGAAACCCCTGCCTTCCAGCCACCTCATTGGTTTGAAACACTTTATTCGTTAAGCCAAAACACTGCATGATACACTGTTATCACATTGCTTCTGGGCATTCCTTTTTATGTTTCTGCTAATCAAAAACAGCACTAAGACTAAGATGAGATTCTCACCTCTTATGCTAGTCCTGCACAATGCAGTACAAACACATCCTGAGAGAACTATCTGACAGTTCCTTGTAGTTCTCTGGCAACCTTTTTATTTAAGCAAGCAAAAAAGGGTAACTTTCAGCAATACATTTTCCTAATGGAAGATGAAATGATACGATATTTTAATCTAACACTTTTCTAATACACATATTTAGAGGATCCCTGCGTTTTCAGAGATACAAGGTTTTATTCTGGTCCACACAGACTTGCTGTAACCCTCTCGTTTCTTAAGAATCAGGAATTTTTTTGAAACCGAAGCCTCACTGAGCTTGCAGCAAATCACCTGAAAAGTTTTTGCTCCACAGGTATCTTTTGTTGTTGTTTATAGACACAATCTCTCATGCTTTAAAGTTTCACACTGTATCCTGCAAACTGCACCTTTGCTATTCAGCAAGCTGGCATGGGAAGTACCACGACTGGGCAGGTGGTTTTCCCAGGGTGAGAGGCACGCATCAGATTCACTTAGTTTGCTTGTTAAAGTTCCTTTAAAATCTATCATAGCTGTCATAGCTTCTGTTAATTAAAATATCTTTCCATTTCTTCCCTGCATTTCTAACACTCAATTTCAATTACATCCACGAAGCAAAGCCATAGATTTATGACCTATCAGTTGAGCCCAAACAAAGCCCACTTGGCCCTTCAATTCTGCTTTCTATAGTCCCTATTGTACATGCTTTTTTAACAAAGGTGGAGTCCTGTATACATTTGTACTATTTCAGCACACAGTACAATAAAATTTTAAAGTTTTGCAGCCAGCATATGTTTTTGATCACTTGTACTACTTGGTAATGGTGAAATCAAAGTGAGATGCTTGCAGAGCTAGTTACAAGCTAAATTTTGTGCCTAATTTACCTTGAAAGTACATTAATCCTTGAGGGTTTTTAACTATCTTCAATTGTAAACCCTACATAACAACAGTAGTGCTCATTCTGCAAGGTTTTGCTATCTGATCTTTAATCTATATGTATAATGTGTTTGCCTTAGTATATAGCATTTTTCAACAGTAAACTTCTTATGGATTAAAAAAGGAAAAATGTACTTGTTTAAATATAAAGTTGCTCAGAGCTTACTGTGCCGTACTGTTTGTCCCACACGCCCTCCCCATCTTAAGTGCCATCTCATTAGCTTAACTGAGAAGCAGTAGCTGCTCCTCCCATCTAAGGAAACATCGGCACACCAGCAGCCATCACTCACCTGACAGCAAGCAGTGCTTGTGCTGCATGTGAGCAGGTGAAGTTTTGTGCATGTAACTTCTGTGACAGCACTGGAACCCAGCTGTTCGTGGGTCTCATTTCTAGGTACACCTGTATCTTCCAGAGATTTTGTCTAGGGAGATGTCATGACCTGAACAAGTTTATAAGGTCTACCTTCTATTTTCAGCCTTTCCCATTGTTTCTCTACATGTCTTTGGGTACATCCTTCCCATGTTAACAAGCTCCAGGAGCAGTCCATCCCATATTTCACTTGTGGGAAGACTGTTTCATCTTCAAATCATAATCATGATTTGTTCTGTAAAACGATCTCATTCTGATCTGAGCCATGTTTTAAATCCAGCTTCAAACAGGGATGAAGTTGTTGCACAAAAACAGGAAGCCACGTGCTCCCGTGAAGGTATTGCACAAAGCAAGTCTAAAATGCTTTCTGGTGAACAGAAAACAGTGATGCAGCTCTGACTTGCTACAAGGACAAACTCCTTTAGTTCTTCCAAAGGGTTCAGCTTTCTCCTCGAGGCTGGTTTGCTTGTACCAGTCTCCTTTTAAACATTTCAGAGCAAACTCCCTTGTGGCTAAGCCTTCTCTCTACACTCACACTCCTGCAGCGTGCAAGACCCAAGCACAATCGTTGATGAGTTTCTTAACAGGAAGGAGTCCTGTCCAGTCACACTGTGTGCTTGAAGGTCTGACCACACCTGAGAACTTTGTCAGAGAGCAGAGGTTGAAAAGATAAGGAAGGAGGCCTTACATTAAAAGACACAAGGTAATACTGATAACTGGAGGCACGGAGGCCAATAAAGTCCATGCAGTATTAGGCACCAGAAAAGTAGAATGGGAGAGAGACTTGTTAAACATGCAGACATCTTTTATCAAGTATGCAAAGTCAGCCATGTGGCACTAAGTCATAACTGTGTTTCGTCAGCTGTAATCCTTGGGAAAAATATTTGCTGTGTGTTTTCAGGCTGCTCTCTGCAACCCGTCTTAAAAAATGCAAAGGAATGCAAAATAAACAAGACAAATCTTAGGTTCTGATTCTACCCTATATGAATTCATGTACAATTAAACGTAAAAAGCTCCTTTTTGAAGGAATCATTACATACATCTTGAGTTTAAAAATAGTCACCAAGCTGCAGAATGATGATATGAAGAAAGATCCCAACTGCGGTCAGTTGCGTCCGCATCCTCACCAGCAAACGTGAGCTGTGTTTAAAGACTTACTGCAGCAAGGAATGAAGCACTAAATGCTGAGCAGTCCTAACATTCTATCAGCCTTTTCTTCTTACTATGTGCTGCCACAGGAGATATGTCATGTATTCCAGATTGGTCTGCTGTATAATCAATGAATGCACAGATGCTATAATTAAGAAATATACAAGAGAGCGTGGCTAAGCAGGTTATTACACCAAAAAAGAATAGACAAAGGGCTTACCCTTGTCCTGGGCTCACTGGAAAACTTCAAACTGAGGGATCTCCAAAAACAGACCCTTTCACACTGGCAGCCAGCTCTTAAATAGGTCTAGGAGAGGTGCAGCCAGGCTCCCCCCCTTCTGGCACACAGCTGAATTGCCTTCACCTGTGCTCCTGTGGCTGACTCAGTGCTCGTCTCAGGTGGTCAATCAGAGGTTCAGGCTGTAATTCAGCAGTTGCCATACAGTCTGCACTGCTTTGAAATTGTGTTTCTGTTCTGAATCTAAACAGAGAACAGTATCTGTGGTGCATACGTTGTTGCGGAATGAACGTGTATGGTGTAACTAGCCTGTTCATTTTTATAAACCTCCGTGGGTCAAATGTTCACTAGGCTGCAAATTAGCTGGTAAGGTGCATGAGAGATTTTGATGTAAGTTTTCATATGTAAACAGTGTTTTTCTTGTGAGATCTCACGCTTTCTTCAACAGCTCCTCTGTAAAAGGACCGCTTCATGCGCAACAAGGAGAAGGGCCAAACCCAGGACAGGCTGGGGCCTCTCAGGTAGAAAGCAGCAGAACAAGGGGCACTGGGCACAAACTGGCACACAGGAGGTTCTGTCTAACCACCAGACATCACTTCTGTGCTGTGCAGGTGATGGAGCACAGACATAGGCTACCCAGAAACTGCGGGGTCGCCTCCTTGGAGATGTCCAGAAGCCGCCTGGCCACGGCTCTGAGCACGCTGCTGGGGCAGAGCTGGGCCAGGTGGGCAGAGAGCCCTGCCAGCCTCAGCCACCCTGCGGTTGTGCGATACCGGCTTAGTTATTCAGAACATCGCTTCCTTTGTGGAAATGGGAAGTATCGAAGCAGTGACTCCGCGTATCCACCAGATGGCAGAGAGCAGCTGAGGCGCGGGCAATGGCGCGCTGTTTTGTTAACGCTGCGCTCGTGTTCGCAAAGGCTGTGCGCGCTGTCTGTCAAGGGACTGAGAAACCGCTCTCTGAGCGTCACTGTTAAGACGTTAAAAGATCATCTCGGTTAAAGGCCTGAGGGAACTGAGCGCGGAAGAAGAAAAACCATCTTCTTGTTGGAATAACGTAAGACTGCTTTTTGAACACCGCTACTTCCACACTTAACACCATCTCCATTAAAAGCACGTCATAAAAAACCCGGTCGTGGCGCTAATACTCAACAGAGCTGCAGAGGAGAAAAGGCTGAGCAATGCCAAGCCTGCATTTGAAATCCACAAGTCTTCCCAGCGATCTAGCAAACTAGATCCTTGTTTCCCAGTGCCACTGTTTCCCAGTTGGTCGGATTATCGCTTTTCTTTCGGATTTCGAAAGAAACTCTTCACTGCGTCACACACAGGCGGGAAGGGAGCGCCGCTGACTTGCTGAGGAGCCGCGGCGCCTCGCGCCCTCACACTGCACGGTGGGGGCGGGGCGGAGTGGCCCTGCCTGCGCCCAGCCGGGGCGGCTGCAGGGCCGCTGCTCCCCTCGCTAGGGGCGTTCGGACGCTCCCCGGCCTAAGCTCGGCCCTCCCTCGGCGCTGGGCGATACCATCTGGCGGCACAGGGGTGGGAAAGCCGCTTCCCTCCCGGCGCGCGGAGTTTTTCGGCTGTCCCCGCTCACCCCCGCGCCGAGAGGGAGAGGCGAGGCGCGCCCTGGCGCGTGCGCGGTTCGGGCGGCGTTCGGCGTCAGCGGCAATGCCGGAGATGGCGGATCCCGGCACGGAGCCGGGCACGGCCCGCAGCGGCGCCGGAGCGGCGGCGACGGCCGGGGGCACCGAGGACAGGAGCGACGGCGGCGGAGAGGCCGTTCCCGCGTCGCCGCCTACGCCGTCCCGCTCCGCACCGACGGCCGCGGGGAGCGACGACGGGGGGAAGGCGCTGAGCGCGGCGGAGTACGCGCGGCGGGTGCACCAGTGGCTGTGGGACTCGTACTGCGGCTACCTGAGCTGGCACTGCGGCCTGCCCGCCCTGCTCGCCGCCGGCCCCGCTGCCCGCCTCGCCGCCCCGCCGCCGCCGCCCCCTCCCTCAGCCCCGCCGGGTTCCGCTCCCGCCGCCTACTACAGCCCCTTCTACCTCTTCGCCCCGCCGCCCGCCGCCGCCTCTCCGGGGCCCCGCGCCCCCCCCTCGCCCGCCCCCGCCTCCTCTTGGCCGCCGGCTGCCGCCGGGCTCTCCCCGCTGCCCCGCGCGGCTCCCGGCTCCGGCGGCGGCAGTGCGGCCCCGCGGGAAGCTGCGGGCCGGCCGGCAGGTGAGTGAGGGCGGCCTGGGCCGCGTTTGTGCCGTGTTCGTGTGGATGCCGCTCGTTCCTAGCGCGGTTCGGGTGACTGGAGCCGAACTGACTTCATCTGCTCCTTTCCGTGCTGCGGTGACATCGCCTGGCCAAGTCGAAGGGAAGAAGCGGAGCCGTGGGGCTGGCAGCGGGAACTGGAGTTCGTTTCAGATGTCAGTATTTGCGGAGTGTGTATAGCAGTGCTTCTGTTTGCGTTCTCTTGAGAGCAAAGCAAACTGATTGCGTGCGAGAGAACGCGGGCAGCTTGCAGGTGCTTCCCCGCCGGCTGCTGGAATGGCCGCCTCCTTTATTCCGGGGCTGCCGATGGACGGGCATCCATCCGACTGTGCTGCCGAGGCCCCTGGAAAAAAGCCAGGTGTCCTGGCCCTCCGCAGGGCAAAGTGCAGCGGGCAGAGCTGTGCCGTTGGTGTGAGCTCGCTCCCCGAAAAGCATTTTTCCTTCCTTTTTTTTCTTGTTCTCTTCGAAGGGAAGGGATTCTGACTTTTAAACGTGGTTTGTTTGGTTGCGGTGCAGAGCAGTGCTTGCTTTCGTTCGGGGTTGTAGATTGCTTTTATAGATTGCTTTTGAACAGAAGCTCCCTGTCCCTAAGGCAGAGGATACAAAGGTGGATGGAAATGTTTCCTGGGTTTTTACGTAGCTCTTCAGGAATAAATGCAGTATGCCCAAGGCAGCTGGGGGCACGGATTGCTCTTCCTGCTGGTGAATGTGGTCATTCTGAATGCTCGTTACTGTTGTGACACCCGGCCTTCCTAAGGGAATTCTTTGCGTGCTCCAGTGCTCCGATGCAGTCATTTGTGCTCCAGCTTGTGAGGGGATGCATCTGGAACAGCTCAAGTGATTACATCTCCTTTTCTGCTGCGGATTATTGTCCTTGGAGCAAGCTTGGCAGGAGAGGACATGTTTCCATCCTGGTGCTGCTGTAGTTTACAGCCCTGTGTGCTTATGTAACATAGGCTGTCACTTTTTTCAGCTGAACTTTGCGCATTTCTAGCTGGAGCGTCAAAAAGCAGAGCAGGTGACCGCCTCTCCCAGCTCAGTCTGCCTGCAGCCGAGTGTGAAAACATGTTAGTTGTATGTTAGTCGTACTTAGTTGTACGCTGGGCAGCAGCAAGCTTTTGTTGGATGCTAATTGTGGTTTAAGATGCTTTGCCCCCTTGCGCCTCCCTGCCTTACTGTAGCAGGTTACCACTCTTACACTAAGCACAGTAGAACAAAGCACGCTCAGACACAGTTGCCCTGTGTCACTGCCTGATTAGTGTGACCCCTCCTTCATGTGACAGCCTGGGCTTTGAGCTGCACGTTGCTTTCCGCTGTCCCCACCACACGTGTTAACTTGTGATGTAAAAAACATCTCCTTAAATTGCTGTGGGGGAAATACGCTGAAGTCTCAGCAGGATTTAAGGTAACTTGAATACTTCCACAGCCACAAACACTTCTGCCTTCCTCGGTCGCTGTGTCTGTGTGTCCAAATGGCACTGCTGCTGCTGTCAGCCACTGTGCTGCATTTGAGGAGGGCATTTGCTCTGTGCTTTTTGCTGCTACGTGCTTAAGCTGGGCCAGCGGAGGTTGAGGTACAGAATCTTCTGTTAGAAGTTTTTTGACAACTTGGATATGCTTCAGCAGTGCAAACTGGATCTATTTTAGTATTCCTTATGTAAGTCATGCTGCTTGACAGATAGTATCAATGTGGAGTTACCAGTGTAAACAGCTATGAAGGGAAGATACAAGCTGAGTCGCATTAAGCAAAAACTTGCTCTTGCATAATCACTGCTTTATTGTACTTACTGCATTTAAAAGTACAGAAGTGCCCTGGGCTTGCAGCTTCACATGCACAGCTTGTGAGGCCGGGACTGGCAGTAGCAGTTGTGGAAGCTGAACTGTTCTGGGTGAAATTTAGCATAGAGCAGTGATGTTTTTCATGATGTTTTGTTGAGATTGGGGTGAGAATTTCCTTTTCCCCCTCCCCCCCTTTTTCTCCTTTTCCTGTATGTGGGACAGGCATTTGCAGAAATGCTGTTCATTTTGCCCCCATCTGCCGTTGGCCAGTGATGCTGGGGAAATGGGTTATGTTTTCTGGCTCGTGGAGCACTGTGCTGTGTTGTATTATAATAAACAGCATAGGAACCTTTCTGACAGATGTGACTAATGCTTTCATCTGCTCCTGTTTCTGGGTCTAACCTGAAGGCTCATATAACTGAAGTAATCCAGATGCGTTCTTTTAATTGATAGACTTCTTTAGTAGAATTCTTGGTGTGAGCTGAGATGAAGCTGTTGGTTGTGTTCTTGCGAAAGGTATCTGTGAAATATCCTTGAGAGAATTGAACTTCTTAGTGCAGTACAAGCTGGGTAATCCTGACTGTTTCTGTTGCAGGTCGGGAGTTCATTATCCCTTCGCTGGCACACAGGTTCATAGCAGAGATGGTGGATTTCTTCATTCTGTTCTTCATAAAGGCAACCATAGTTTTAAGTATTATGCACCTCAGTGGGATAAAGTAAGTAGAACAGTATAAAGGTTTATTGTATACAGCTTTAAGGTCTTTGTGCTCTTTGAGGTGTCATGATGTATATGTGCTGTGGTTATGCATCTGATGTCTCTTTCTTAACTGGCACACAGCCCCACTATAGGATAACCTCCTTTTAAATCTTTCGTGATCTGGGGTCAGCTGATGGCAGGGGGAAGAATTTTGGAGTAATTTTGTAGGCTCACAAACTCGTTACTAAGGATTAATTAGACTGACCTGCAGTATATGATTTTGAGGAAATTAGCAAGAATTTTTTTAAATGCTCTTAAAAAAATCTCTGTGGGAAACTTTTTTGCTTTGTTTAAAAAAGGTTTTTATGTCAGATCACGTCAAATA